ATGGTGATTTGTGATAATTTTCTGTCCATTTTTCCTTTCTGCCCTCTGATCGCACAGTCTTCCTTTTGTATTTCTGCAATGCTGGGTGTAAATAGATGCTATGTGTGTTTCTGGAATCTCTAGTAAAAAATGAAACTATTGTAATAGTTGCAGAACAAGTAGCATCCCACTCCAATTGCTTAGAGTTAAGTTTTAACATCTGCAAGTGCTGTGTAAACTGTTACACAATGATAGACCACAGGAGCCGAGAGTTGTCTCCATTGTTGTTTAAAACTTACTTTAACGTAGCAAGAATCTCACTGACTAGCATAAACATCCTGTAGTATGAATTCGTCAGATGTATTTAGCAAATGTTTGGTAAAGTGTATGAGAAGAAGTGGTGGTTTGCAGATTCATCCTTTAACAAGTGCCTTAAATTTGTAGTGGGTGTTAGAATTGCTAGATTGGCATACTAACTGGTAAGATGTAATTAGTGAATAAAGAACAAATGAAATAGTTTTAATAATCACGGCTTAATTTTAAAATATACTGCTTAAAAATTAAGAGACTGTAAGTAATTAGAGAATATAAGTGATATTTATGAATTTGTTCAGAAATTCAGCAGTGCACATCACTTTAGTTGGTAAGCCTGTCAGTTTGCATCTCTCTGTAATTGTCTCTATTTTCTGATTATTATAATTTTTATTTTTTTTCAAAAAAAAACTGATAATGGTTTTCTTCTGCAGAGCTCTGATAATGCCCCAGCTCAACCAGCTCCTAACCAGCGAGTTGTAGAGGTGGCGATTCCTGATGTAGGGACTTTTGTGATTGAGGCAGAGGAGGGGGGTTATGACGATGAGGTACCTTCAATTGCAGTTGTGTGCACCGCTCCTCCTCGGTGCTTTCTCGTGCTGCCTGAGGAGAATTTTTAGCATGTTTGCACATCGTGACACGTAACGGATTTCTGCAGAACTAAATGCTTAGCGATTTGTAACCTTAACAATGTCTTAATTTGTAATGAAATATGAAAGGAAAGCACTAGCTACTCTAATTGGGCACGCTTTGCATGGTACCATTTACACTGGAGGTACATTTGCCTTTTTTTAGCTGTGGAAGTTGAATGTTTGTGTTAGGCCAGATAGCCTTTGAAATGCTGGTGATAGACTGCAGACTACTACATTATTTAAAAAGTGACGGGATAGTGAGTGATGTTCTTAATGTTTGTGCTTTCTTGTCAGTCCAATAAAGCTAATGTTCATGTCCAGTCCTCTGTTTGCCAAGATTGAGCCTTTCAGACTTGAAGGATTAAATTATCCATGGAAATAACTTGAAACTGATATGGTTGCTAGAGCTGACTCCTCCAAAGCTTAAGAAAAAAAAATTAAAAAAAAAATATTCTTTTTTTTCCCAACTGGGACCCAGTGTGGTACGCACACCTGATACTACCTGAGGAGCAAATGAGAGATGTTATTTTCTACTGCCCTATTTTAGCAGCAGAAAGCAACACTGCCAGGTCATTAGACTGTCCTGACAGTTTGACACTGCTTACTCCGTGATCATTTTGGCTGGGAAGAGTGTTGGTGCAGCCCATATTCTCCAGTGTCTGAGCATGTGTCCTTGGTGGGCTGTGGCAAGCTTTTGCCTCCCTAGCTAGGCAAATAGGTATTTCAGGACATTTTCCCTAAAATTGTGATCAGTCGTAACTGGCAGTATGGGAGGGAGAGTAAAATGATTTAATTGACATTGTCCCACTGATTTGGGCTTCTCACAGATGTGTAGTCTCCACCTTTAAAGAAATGAGGATTTAGCCTTACCTGATGACTTGCTTCTTTGTTTTGCTTTGTTTTTCTTTTTTTTCCCACTGTATTTCCCATGCCATTGTCTTTCTATAGGATGATAACTTTCCTCCCTATTTCTCTATTCTTTTTGTAACCACATTCACTTTTTAAAATGTTATTCTTACGTGTGGGAAACTCCTTTGAAGAGTTTAGGGTTCTTCATCTTTTGTTGCTCTGCCAGTTGCTGTGCTGGCTATACCTTGGGCAGAGGGAGAGAGAGGGAGTGTGTGGGTTTTTTCTCACAGGTAACAAAGGGCAAAGGACTTTCTGAGTAACCTGGATGCATCAAATTGTTTATATGTAACTAATGTGAATAGCTGTGTGATATGTGTCTTATGCTTGGCTTGGTGTGTTTTGTTAAATGTTTTGGGTTTAAGAATTTGTCTTCAGAGGCTTCAGGGACCAATTGCATTTGCAGCAATGAGTCCCTTATTTTGATGTTGAAATATGTGTAAAATACAGGCAGTGTAGTTCACGATGTTCTTTAGTGTATATATGAAGTGTGATTGGGTGATTTTTCTACTTGAAACGTTTTTGTTTTTTTTTTAAATCCTTTCGTGGCCAGGGAGAGCACTCGTTCAGTGTGCAATTTCTGATGGATACTAATGCTGAGCGATGCATGTTCCTTTCCTGGAAAGTTTTGACCATGTAACTTTTAAATTGTGTATGACACAGTTCTACAGACTTTTTGTAAGCTTTCTTTAGTCGTATGTCGTTACAGTAAAAATACACATGCCATGACTGATTTGCAGAATATGCACACCGGCTCTGTATTCAAATGTGCCATTTCAATGTATGCATGCATTAAGTTGCTTTTCATCTTGCATGAGGCTAAAAGCATATTGAATTTGGTCATTAAAATATTAATCATTCAAAACTTTTACCTTAAATCCCTTGTGGCAGGTCATGCTGACCCCGAACATGCAAGGTATTATCATGGCTATAGGTAAAGCCAGGAATGTTTATGACAGGTGTGGGCCAGAAGCAGGGTTCTTTAAGGTACAACTAACATTTTCAATTTTTTCTCTTCTGACTTTTCTTGTTAGATATGCTTTCCCCTTCCACCTTCTGATGCAAATTAAGACTGTTCCAGTGTTTATATTTACTCTCCTATGGTGTCAGGCCTCTGTATAGATATCTCCCCTGAATAACAGACAGTGATTGCCCTGTTGATTAAGCAGTGCACTGCCTTGATATCAGTAGCTGTTACACCTTTCTGCATTTTAGCTTTCTAGTAACAGTAGAAATAACAGGAAATTTAGATGTGTAATCAGTAAAAGTACACTATTTTTTTCCACCTGTTAGTAGCAAAAGCCATGCTTTTGCTAGGCTGTTTGGGACATTATTTTTTTCACCAAGGGACATCAGTGTTTAGTCATTTGTTTGTTTCAAAGAGATGTTCTTGTTTTGTACTCCTTAAACGATTTTTAGTAAATCTAAATTACTTTCTCTTGTGTAACTGCATGGATGTCAACACTACTTATTTATGCAGTGTTTTATTACTGGGAATTAGATGTTAGGCTTTTTGTGGTTACTAGTCTTCACAGTGATAAAAGATTTAAGAATGAGTTAGTCTGCTCAAATACACAAACTTCTGGTTTTAGCTCTCAATCTTTTGAATTTTCGGGGTATTAGCAAGGGAATTACTTGGATATGATGTTAAATCCTCTCGAATGTGTTTTGGGGAAGGGGAAGAAGTTTCTGCTTGTCACTGAGTAGCAATCTGATTTCTTCTTAATTGTTGTGGTGTGGTTGAGCTAGAAGAAATTGTAAAAAACAAACAAAAATTGTAAACAAGCAGCAACCAACCAACCAACAAAACCAAAGGGAAACCTTCCCCACCCCCCCCCTCAAAAAAAATAATTCTCCAACCCCGTGGTAAGGAAATGAAAATCTTCAGGGCTAGTTTGTTTGTCTGTTTGTGTGGATTTTTATAACAGATACTGAGAGAAGTGTTATGACCATAAGACTTGTTTGCAGGACTGTCTCTCTTAACCCTGCCTGCCCTTGGGGAATAGAGAGACACCTGCCACAGCCTCTGTTTAGTGAAATAGGTTTTGGTTGAGATTCAATGCTAGGTGGTTGTTGGGTTTTGTTTGTTATGGGTTTTTTTTTAAAGTTATTATTTAATGAGAAGATACCAAGCATATTTTTTAAGTTGAAAAGAAATCCTCATTTAATCAAATAAAACTCTTTGCTAGAAAGTTTAATTACACTTTTTTTTTTAATATGAAGGGCTTTTTGGTAATTTCAAAACAGAAATGCAGTCCAAAAGAAAATTATATTTAGTGCTCCAGAGTTACCAAAATAATGCTCAGATGAAGTGTTTTTTTGGTCTTCAATTTTGAATGCTTAAATATTTTCACTTCACGGGGGACAGAATTTATCTTCGAGTGAGAAAATGTTCTTACACTAAATTGTTGGAGAGATGAAATTTTCCATACTCGTTTTCTGCTGACTCACATTTGCAATACCTTAGAAGACATGGAACTTGCTTAATTTTTGAAGAATACATTAGTATGAATGTATGCAGGTGAAATGGTAACCAAATTTGTATTTGGAAACATAGCAGATAGAATTTCGTGTAACTCCATAAACTATAGTAAAAGCTTTTGTGATACTTTTAATACTGTTATCCTCTGGGTTTCTTCATGTGTTTGTTTCTTTAGCAAATGTGTCTTTACATAAAACTGTGGGGGTTTTTCTAGGATGTCTTTGTTTTAGTGTAACCCAGGCAAAACCCATGTGATGTGGGTCATTGTTTTTGCCAAGGTTCCACTCCCCCTTCCAATCATCCTTCTTTAAACTTTATGGACAGTTTCTTGCAGAATATCTGCATTAAGATCTTTATGTAACATTCTCAGTGAGAAAAGGAAAGCATGTAATACTTCCTTCTACCATCTATTTTTTCTGTATTCTGTGTAAAGAAATAGTGTTATATTTTTGTTTTACAAAGGATTTCAGAATCTGCAGTATACCATTTTATTTTGTTTAAATATGCATGTATTGATTTTGTTGAAATATGTATATAAAATATAGAGTTTGTGTTGCATTTTTTCCTACTTCTAGGTAACTCTCTAAAAAATTGAATGTCTAATAGGAATTGCTTTTTGTTTCTGGCCTACCCTGGTAAACAGGGGTTGATTACATGGTTATCCATGTTGTTTTCTAATCGTAGAACTTCCTATGTAAGAGAATAAAAACTCTGTGCCTGTGGCTTTTGATGCATATAATTGATTCGCCCAAATTTCCTTTTTAATGATAATGCATATGATGAGTATGTCTAAATATTGACACAGTATGTTCTCTTAAGTTTTAAAGTTCCCCATATGCTCTGTGTTTAAGCCTGTATGAGTAGTTTCCTGCCCACATGTTTAGTACTGAAACAAAACGTGTATTATAGAGGATGGGAGCCCAAATTTCTGATAGCTAAACATCAAGAGGTTACCTGTTACTGCTAGGTATCTGAACATAAAGAGTTTTGAAATATTGAGCAAAGTATTTTTCTGTGTGCTTTGGAGCTTTATTTTGTGTATATGTCATAATGAAACTTCGCTAATGTGCAAAGCTGCTGTATTAAGTGATTTGTTTCAAGTCAACGTTTAGGGCTAGCAAACAATCTGATCACCTCCCTGTTGTGAGAGATAAATTATGGAAGATGCTTTTTCACTGTTTTTCTGATTATCTTTCTTATTGTTGCTCTTAACCATCCTTTATAGTTTCAGTGAATAAAATCTAATGAATACAACAGATGATGCGCATTAAAATCTAATGTGCTGGCAAAGCTGGAAGTGTAAAAGTTTCTAATGGCCTCTAAAGTTGATCTAAAATACTCAGTGAGGACTCTGTTCTGCCCTCTAGGAGACTAATACTATTTGTTATCGAAGTATTATTTTCTTAGGAAATCCTGCAATTTGAATTTTGTTGAAAGACCTTTTCCATTCTTACTTAGTGTTTCCAAAAACATATATGTTCATTAAACTTTCTGTAGAGTATTTTTTCTTCAGGTATTGGCATTTTAACCATTTATTTTTTACCTTATGAGGTTTTAGAAGATTCTTTTAAATATTACAGAAATCTTATACTCTTTTTTGACTCTAAATGCTTAAAGAAGCCTCTTCAGGGATTGGATAAACCTTCTCTCAAGCAGACATAGCACAGCACTGGGACTACTTTTTAAGTAAAGGGCTACCTGGGATGCTGGGGAGAGACAGGAACAGCTTTACCATTTGTCTGGTTGGTTATTTTTAAATGTAGCTCCAACTTGTTAGAAGGATGGACTATTTGTGAAAATAATATTTTGTAGGCAAAAGGCCACAGACATATGGCATCTGTGATATTTAAGAGTTTAAAGCCAGAAGGAATAATGCATATTTTTAAAATTATTTAGGCAATTAAATTGGAATACACACGCTTGCTAAAGTTAGCCCAGGAAGATCCACCACCTGAATGTGATTACCGCTTGCGTCACGCAATTGTTTACTTCATCCAAAACCAGGCACCAAAGAAGATAATTGAGAGAACATTACTGGAACAGTTTGGAGATCACAATCTTAGCTTTGATGAAAGGTAATAAGATTTTAATATCTCGCTTCTCGTGCTCACCAGTGTTCTCTGATGTGTGGAGACGCCCCTTCATATTCACACAGCGCATGTGGTAGAGGGAAGGCTGGCATGTGTGTGCTTGGCTTTATCTTCTAGTTAATAGCTTGCAAATATATTTTGCAAAAAATATCATCTTTATGAAAATCTCTCTAAACACAGTATAAACAAGAAGTTGGGTTTCTATTGTCATGAAATGAGGAGAAATACACAGTGTTGTTCATACTTTTGCACACGAATTTCTGTGCCTTCTTTCAAAACACGTTGTAAAGCTGGGTAATTTGCATTTTTTTTTTGCTATACTGAAGCCAGCGGTAGACAGCAAAGCCTTGTAAGCTACATGGGTAACTTACGTGAAAGCAAGAAAATGTCTCTTCTCCACTTGAAATTCCATATATTTACTTACTTAAATAATTTGAAAGATAGGGAACAGTAGTCTGATTTCTGTGTGGTGAATAATCCTCTGGGGTTACTTTCGGACAGTAAATGTAGGGGATTTTTAAGCCATCTGAACTTCAAATAAAAAAGGAAGACTGAGCCACGTGGCAATTTAGCAAAATAAACCAGGCAGTAATTCCTAAATAATGTAGCCCTCCATCACAGGTGCTTCAAAAATATGCCCTCTCCTGCTGATTATAACATGCATGATAAAAAGCACATTTTTCACAGTATTTTCATACAGATTTGCATGATGCTGTAGCCTGTACTGTTTGAGGCTGCTCTCTTTGTGTCGATAATATCCTTTGCAAATTTTCAGTAACATTCCAGGATTTCTTGTTGGTCTTTGTAAGGTGCCGCAACATAATGAAGGTTGCTCAAGCTAAACTTGAAATGATAAAGCCAGATGAAGTAAACATGGAGGAATACGAGGTCAGTATATTTTATGTTGTAAATCAAATTGTAATGTGAAATAGTTATCCACAAGCTGAATTTTATCTTCACAATTTTCTTCTTGTTTTACAATGGGAAGTTAAAGCTGGTTATTGAAAGACCATTTATTTGTAGGAAGGCTGCTCTGATCAGTTGATCTAAAGCTGTTTTTTTTCCACATCTGTAATTCCAATGACTTGAGCCATAAATAAATGTCAAGTTTGAGTCTTGCCTTGCTATGTAACATGTCTCCATGTCACTACCAGTATTCTGTAATTTATCACCACAGGAACCCACTGGTTTTCTCTAGTCAGAAGCAGCTAGCAGTGAAGGAGTGAGAGTGGTTTAAACCCAGCCTTGCGCATCTTGAGAACTGGGTCACAGGCACAGTCACATTTATGCTCTTCCTCCATCTGTCTCTGCAGCCTTTCCCATCTTCTGACAAACACCAGATTCTTTTGCTTGCGGGGACCATACATAACCAGTTTATGTGTTTAAGTTTTCCTCTTGTGCAATTTAGAAAAATGTGGAAAGAAACAATGAGCAAATCTCAGATGTTAAATAATTGTGACTAATATTTGCCAAAATAATTATTCTCATATTGAAGTTTAGTTTGTAGCTAGTTTTACAACTCTGTGTAATACCATTCATTAAGGCCTCTTTAACAGTTGATATATTTAGGCTGTGCAAAACTCAGTGGTTTACTAGTTTATGAAGGGCATTGCACAGGTAGAATAAACAACTCTGAACTTAGCTTTAAGAATGAGTGAGTGGAGATGTCTCCTATTCCCTTGCAGATACATGCCGCTTTTTTAGCTTCTGAGGCAGGTAGTTGGTGGTTTCTGCAATATTTGTCCTGTATAGTGAGTTGGCATTTCACAGACCCTTTCTCATGCTCTTTGTGTTGAATCTCTAAGTGATTACGTCTCATGGTAGGCTGTCCCCTATTTTATCTGTAATGAGCAATTGAAAGTTGGCTACTAACCAACTGCAGTAAAAGCATCTTTCTCATGTAGAGCATTTACCTGTAAAGCATACCAGTGGTCACTGTATAAATGGTAATGCAGTCAAGTCAATGTTCTGCTCCAATATAAACATCTCCACAGTCTGAATTGTTTGGGTTTTTGTTGCTTCCTGTGTGAAGTGCTCAGGCTTTTTCTGTGTCATTCTTATGTTGGAAGTTAAGCTTAATAGTTAAGAGTATGAAAAAGCTGCCTACCACTTTCTGAGTAAATAATGAAGTGTAAAGTAGGGGGAAAGAAAAGGTTATTAGCTTCTCAACTGTTTTTGAGAAGAAAAAAGGGTTCTCCCATAATTCTGACTGTGGTTCTCCACAGATGCTTTGTGTTCCTTTCAAATGGTAATGTGTTCTGTAAAAATCTCTTCTAGAACTGTTTTAAAGAATCTTCTTTTTATTAAAGGTGGGTGGCTTCAGGGGAACTTTTCACACATGCAAGCTTAATGGGGTCCTTAGCATTTACTGCCAGCACCTATTCAGTACTATGTAAACAAACTATGTGTAAAAAAGAAAACCAAAAAGAACATATTTCATGTTTGTGGATGAAATTCTATATACCCTTTCTTATACGCAGAGATGGCATCAAGACTATAGAAATTTCAGGGAAACAACCATGTTCCTCATGGTGGGATTGGAGTTTTTCCAAAAAAAGAGGTAAGTGGTAATACGGAACTCCAATGTAGTAGAGCAGTTTGAAGGCAAAAAATGATATTGATAAGTAAAGCTATTTTTTAAAATTATGAATTGTTTAATGTGTTCTTCATTTTAGTCAAGCACTTATTTGGTTCATTAAGGTCTTCAGTCTTGTATCTGCCTCAGTTTCTCATAACTTCCTGTTCTTAATCTCTATTTCCAATCTCATATCAAGCCATAGACTTTTCAGAGCACTTTCCCCATACACTCACATTCCTTCTTCTCTTCTACTCTAGGTGCCCTGAGTATCCCTCAGCCATAAAAGTCATTCTTCTCTGTCACCACACATGCATATAAATTTATCTGCTTTCATCAGCAATCACAATTAGTCGAGTCCCTGTCTTACCTGTCTTTTTATTGGGTATTGCCATTGAAGCAAAGTTTTGCATTCTGTGTTTGAGCCACAGTTCTACTTGTGATGGGCTTTAAAGGTCAGGAAAGAACATAATTGAGAATAACTATCCTAACTGTAAGCTGATTCTTCTTAGCTCTATGCACCATGGTGATTCACTCCCTTCTCTTTTTGAACCAAGTCAGGAATTGTAACTATATAAGATTGGTGACATTAATGCACTACAGCTAAAATTTACTCTATCAATTATTCTGTTTATGCAACAAGTATGGTGACTGCAGTAAAAATGCCTCAAAATATTTGGCAGAAGAGTCTTTGAAACAGAATTGTTCAAAAGTACCTCTACCTCCCATGCCCTGTGAAATGATTCAGCTGCAGAATATCCAGTGTCTGGCATCTGTGGCGTGTCTTGGTAACACGTGGCTCACCCTGATTCTGCAAATTACTTGTAATTTGAAAAACAAACCTATAATGACTAACCTTAGACTCTGATATTGGTCCGAAAGAAAAAGATATTATCAGACTTGGATAACATCCAAAGAAGTGTAGTATTCGTTCCCTTTAGCAAGAAATGTGATTTCATCGATGTTTCAAGTAGTGTTTTAATACGAAGATGGTAAGACTAGATAGAATTAAGCATGTTTTCAGAATGGGTCAGGACCTGCTCTAGAGGTATCTATAGCAATTATACACCTATGTTTCAGCTGTAGGTTCCCAAAGGACTGAGATATTTACCGACATTCACATCTTGTACACTCTAGAGGGCAGTACTACCCTCCTTATTCTGAACATGAGACTAAATTGATGAACTCTACCGATTCTCTTACTAACACTGAAATCGTAAATATATAACTTTAAAAACATCAGTGAAAGCACAGACTTCCATAATTGAAATAATACATTCATTAGCAGGCTGTTTTGAGGCTTTTTTCAGAAACCTACCTCCCTCAGTCAACCAACTTTTCATAGTTTTAATAACACCAATCGATGCCTAGCAGCACTCAATCTCTAGATGGAGCCAAAAGTAGACCTTTTATCCAGGCGGTCCCTGCTGTCCTTATATAGTTACACTGTGTTGAACAAACACAAATCAACATTAAAGTAGTTTGGTGTATCTTTTTCACGCCTACTTTCAGTATTAACTCATGGTCCCTTACAGTCCCCAGCAGTGGTTGACAAGGCCCTCTTTCCACTGCGAGTGGAGATTTAAAAGGCCTTTCAGGTGTGTCTTCTCCGACTATACTCTCGAGTAGGAACCTGCTGTGGGTAAAGGGAACACAGCTAGCTAATGAACCTCGGCAGCAGTTTTACCTGCAGCTCACTCGTATGGTGGTAATCACATAGAATCACAAAATGTCAGAGGTTGGAAGGGACCTCAAAAGATTATCTAGTCCAACTCCTCTGCCAGGGCAGAATCACCCAGAGTAAGTCACAGAGGAATGTGTCCAGGCGGGTTTTAAGATTCTTCAGAGGAGACTCCAAAACCTCCCTGGGCACTCTGTTCCAGTGCTCTGTCACCCTCACAGTAAAGAAGTTTTTCGTAATGTTTTTGTGGAACCTCCTATGCTTCAGCTCGTATCCCTTTGTCCTGTCATTGGACATCACTGAGAAAATGGAAAAGTGAACAAACGGTAGACCTTAGCAGTTGCCTATTAAGCTTCTTGGAATGCCAATGCAGTTTCCCAGTTTTGAATGAAATGGCTTTTTCAAAGCACTGCTAAAATTTAGGTGTCCTGTGCTTTTTGCATCTTTTCCAAAGCCTAAATCCAGTGAGCTCCGTAATCCTGTGAGCAGCTTCAGTCACTTTGGGCTTAGGCTTCATAGGCTGGGGCTTGCGTGTGTTTCAGGTGTGAAAAAGCAGAACCTGTTTGCTAATTTACACAACAGCTGTATTCCACAGTCTCTCAAGATATGCAAGGACTCCAAGCCTTGTTGTACAGTAATGATGATTTAAAATAGCTTACCTTGCTGTTAGATGGCACTACTGTTGTTTCAGGGAAAGGTCACCCAGCTAGGGGAAGAAGCAGGAAAATGGGGACTGGGAATAAGGCCACTACTAGCAGCGAGTTTTTAATTTGGATCAGCTGAGCTGTTGGCACTGTATCTTCAACTTTAGAATGGAAAGGGCTAGAAGGTCCTGCTCCTCTGGCTTTATAACCAGCAGTTCCAGTTCTTTGCAATCACATTCTCCTCTGTCCTCCTACGCTATTTTCTGCTGTTTGGCCAGTTGTGTTGCTGATCAGCAGTGTAAGGAGTTTTCACGAGTAGGGGAATGAACTTAAGGAGAGGGTAATAGAACTATTTTTAATGAAAGCGCAGCTTTATATTTTGAGGACAAAGAGCTAGAGGACAGTGACTGTACTTACATTACTTAAGCAATAATTAGGATTGCAAGGGACTATAACCAGATCTCATGATGGAAGAAATAACAGTAGATACTTAAATTATGGTGTTGGGGTTCATCTTACTCTTCTTAACAGGGATATTAGAAGGTAAAGCCTTAAGAAACCATTGCTATTTCAAGGAGCCTTTTCCTTTCGTTTTATGCCATCTCACTGAGAGACATTGCTCTAAGTCTCGAATTTGCCTGCTTTGGAAAATTCTGACACTTATTTTTTCAGGTATAGTCTGTGTTGCTCACATATATTTTTTTAACCATTTCTAATAGCTTAGTTGTTTGGTTTCGATAGTTTAAACTTCAGCCATGACCTCCTGTTCTCACTAGGAGTGAGCAAGTGCGCAATGTACTGTTCCTCTAACCACTCTCTTAGGAAATTTCCCTTCCTAGATTTTTTTAGTTTAGATAAAAATGAGATTTCTATCTGCTTGTTTCTAGAGTAGCTGCTTGAACTGCTTTCAGTGTCTGTCTGTCATAACTGGGTTTCTCTAAGTCAGAGAATTAACAATTATGGTGTTTGCTGAAAGTCACATGCAGCAGCTTGAGGGGAGATTGTTAATCTATGCGTGGAGGGATCTCTGTTGATTAACTGTTAGATTCTTAGGTCCTCTGTTACTTGTCCTTTACCAGTTAAGCTTGTGTTTATCTTCTGCATTGAGAATCAAGACAGAAATGTCACCAGTCTTAGCAGTGCTTCTGCTTCTGAAATGCTCTTGTGACTTCTTCCATCCCTTTAGACTTCAGTAGTTGGGAAGAAGTTACAGTTAGTGAGGCAAAAAATACACAATTTGGGTTTTTTTAGAAATAAGGTGACGGCTTTAAATCTTATTTGTGAAGGTGTAGAATGCCATCAAGACAAATATCATAACAGAAGATTAAACCTAGTGTGACATAAATGTGTGCAGGAAAAATTAAGTTTTCATGTATACTGAAGGGTAATCCAAAGCTATTTTTGGAGTGAGTGAAATGGTATCTATTGGTTTCAGTGAGCTTTGGATCAGGCTTCATGTGCAAGTGATCGAACCTGATAATAAAAAAAATTGTTCTAAATGTGCTTAAAAGATGAAAATATGTGGCAGAAAAAAAAATTGCAAAAAGGTGAGTGGGGAGGACTGGACTTAGAGTCAAAAAAGCAAGTGAAGTTACTTGTCCTTTGAAGAGCACAGGAGTTAGCTTGAAACATGTGGTACCTGGATGTTGCATCTAATGTTTTTGTTTCTTTACTTCAGCTACATGGAAGCCTTGCTCTACCTTATCTACGCTTACCAGAATAACAAAGAACTCTTGTCCAAAGGTCCATACAGAGGTCATGATGAAGAGCTGATATCTCACTACAGACGGGAATGTTTGCTAGTAAGTCAAGGATGAAGTATGTTTCAAAAAGCTGAACTAGCTGCATAGCTTTAAGAAAATTCATTAGTAGAGGAGTGTTGCCATCGTGTAAAGCAAAACCAAAACCAAACCAAACCTCACTTCGTTAACAAATTAATACTGAGACTTATGTAAGGAAAGAAACAAAAGTAAGAAGGAAAACATTATTCCCATATTTTTCAAATTATCATTCATTTTCTTTATGACTGTAAGTAGTGTGCTCACAGCCATGCTGTCTGGGCTAGGTCAGAACAGCAGCTGGCAGAGCTGGTGAGCGGGCTCACCCTCTTGCTGCCACAGTGCGAAGGGAGACAGATACTGGAAAAGGCATCCACAGGAAACAAAGAGTTTTTTTTCCTCGATTATGTCACATTTACCTGTAGCGAGAAAACAAAAGCAGATTATTAGGACCTCAGTCTTAAAAAGAACAGCTGCAAAGGTCGAGTTGGTCCAGGTATCCGATGAAGTGGCTTGAAGAATAGCACAAGATCAATGGGTTTAATAGCACGTATGCATCGTTGCGGTAAACACTGAGGTGCAGTTGTGGTTAATAGACATTACCAGGTAGCTTTGTAGGAACAAAGTGATGTGTGATCGAATGTGCAATGCTGTATACTTAAGGGTTTTCCTTTTTTGTGGTGGTTTATGAAGAAGCTAAATGAACATGCTGCAGCACTGTTTGAATCGGGAGATGATCAGGAAGTCAATAATGGCCTGATCATTATGAATGAGCTTATTGTCCCGTGTTTGCCATTACTACTGGTGGATGAAATGGAAGAAAAAGATATTGTTGCTGTGGAAGACATGAGAAACCGTTGGTGTTCCTATCTTGGACAAGAAATGGAACGTAAGTAATTAACTCATTAAGGTAAAAGGCTCTTGTGTACCTTTTTTATGAATGTGATGTCTTCAGTGTCTTGAATTGACAGTTTGAGCTACCCTGACTTCTGAATATTCCCTTAGACATTCAAATACACAGTTTTTCTGTATGTTGCACTGGGTTATTAGGCCTTAAAGGAAACATGCTTTTTGAACAGAAAAAAGTTTTTGGTGTTAGAATACCTGAAGGAGTATTTACTAGGAATCAGTACGTGCTAGTTATTGCTGGCAGACCTGAAGAAAGTGGATGATTCTAAGTGAAACTCTTCTTCCCACCCACCAATTTTATTGTCAGGGTTGGGCAGAAAAAGGAGAATTCCACATGCAGATGTAAATGCTTGTGTTTGTTTTTCGTGTTTTCTTTGCAGCTAACTTGCAAGAAAAGCTGACAGATTTCCTGCCAAAACTGTTAGATTGTTCTACAGAGATTAAAGGTTTCAATGACCCGCCAAAGTTACCCTCCTACTCCACACACGAACTGTGTGAAAGATACGCCCGGATCATGTTGTCACTCAGTCGAACTCCAGCTGACGGAAGATAAATTCTGCAACCTTCCTAAGCACATTGTATAAACTTTTTTAGTTCTTAAACCTTGCCTTCCTGTCACAGGGTTTGCTTGTTGCTGCTATAGTTTTTAACGTTTTTTTTTAATTTTAATAACTGCAGAAGAGAAATGACTATCCAAACTTTAGCCAGACTGCAGTTAAAGCTGAGAATCGCATGGCGCTCAGTCGTTTCAACCAGAATTGATGCAACATGCAAGTCTGATCATTATGGCAAAACTGCTTTTTTGCCACTTATCTGTTACAGTATTACTTTGCTTTTATCTTAAGATCCTTTACTTTGTCAACAGCTGTCTGGATCATTTTGTGACTGCAACTACTTTAAGTGTCCAGTGCTGTGTAAATACATGGTACTTGGTAGCTTGTAAATGAAATGAAAGAATAAAGTTTTATTTATGGCTACTTCTGTGTTTGCAAGCAGATACCTTGTATATGAGTGTAAAATACGGGTATTTTTAGAAGAGATAGAGTATATTGATGAGTTACTCAATTTTATAGACAAGGTTCTTCAGGATTTATGGCCACTTTAGTTACAGGTAGTCAGAGATACTGTATGTGAATATATTGAAAAAATGTCACAGTATTATACACTATGATTTTTTGTATATTCTTTACTGATCTGTATGATACTGCACCTGAACACTTGTGTGTGTGTGTGTGTGTGGCCATGCCAAGTCTTTTCTGGTACTGGGGACTGGCTTCTGAAGCAAAACAATAATGGCACCTTCCTTCTATTCTTAGAAAAAAAGAAAAAAAAGAAAAAAAAGTTAAAGTATTTTCAGTAGAAATATATTGTAGCCTCTGAGCAAAATCTCTAGAAATTGACTTAAGTAGAGGAAATAACATTTTTTAAATAAGTGGAATTTGTGAATCAAATTCAATCAATTTTTAAAATTGTTTTTTAGCCATCTAAGTGACCAGAAATAAAATCTTATGTTAATTCCTTATTTGAAATGAGTTGCTGTTGTTGCAACAAAGTATCTCAGAAATCTTTTATCTGTTCTAATTAAATTTCTGTTGGAAGAGAAAGAAAAGATCTGTAGGGATTGCTTTGTAGAACTGAAATACTGACTGGTTTTAATGGAAAAAACTTAATTATTTTGTGGAGAAAGAAATTTAATGCGTCCTTAGGTAATCTTGTTACCTGACACTATTTTGATTCCTGCTCTTTATAGAGAACGTTTTGTGTTAGAACAGTAAAATATGTGAATGTTTGTTTGTATGTTTTTATTGGAGCGGCACTCAACTTTTCATTACAGGCTTTCAAGTGGTATTTATTCGAATAACTACTCATAAAAGAACAAAGTGGGAGGGAAGGAGTGATTATGTTCAGACCGCCTGGAAGTGTAATGGGCAGAAATGTAGGCAGCTCACATGCAAGAAGAGGCAGAGTTCAGTCTTAGCACATAACAGTCTGGAAAGTTGTTCGCTTTTGAGAGACGGTGGATGACAAGATGTAGTGAGTAGAGTGTGGCCTTCAGTTCAACAATCTCTTTTAGGGATGTTTTCCTCTTCTGTTTCTAATATTGAAGTGCTTCAAAATTTGTCGATTGTGCATTTATTTTATCAAAATTTTTGTAAAAAAGAATTTTGAACTCTTAAAGTGCAATACTACTCAGGAGCCTTTTTTTAGGTCTGAAACTACTGATGTGTGAAATACCACTTTTCAAGGAAAAAGATATGTTATGAAAAAGGTGAAATTACAAGTTAAAAGATTTTACATCTGTTGCTCTTTGATTTGAAACTCAAGAATATGCCTGCCTCATGCTGTGTATTTTTAAACAGATCAGACTTCTCATCAGCCTTTTTCAGTAATCATAAAAAGAAAAGTGAAAGCAATTTTATTTCTTTATTGCTAACAGATATTTGATGTGAATGTTTGTGAAAACTTCTAAGGAATCTTCCCTCTAACCCTGCAGGAGCCAGTTACGCTCAACAACTGTATAATCTTCCCTGACAAACACGGGGGAAAAGGCACACTTTCCAAGGTTAGAAGAGGAAGAAAGTATATAATTTGGGAAGAATATCTAAGATACTTAAGTTAAAAGGAAGTAAGCAAGGATGAGTTTATTTGTTCTTTTTGCTTTGTTTTTTTTTGCAGTTTCTTTAAAGTATGAAAATAATCCATTGTAATTCGTAGTACTGAAGGTAAATATGTATTTATTCACAATGACTTGAATTTTTGGATTGAATTGAGAAGGTCTGTCTAAAAGAGCACAAATAAATATGTATTTAACTATTTTAATATCTTCTAAATATGTTGTATGAATTTAAACCTTCAGCTAAATCATTAAGGTAATGTTTTTGTTGTAAAAACTTTGCTTTTTTTCACTGCAATTAGAGCTGATAGCTTGGGTTCACAATCCGTAGTGCAAATCCTGTACAAGTAACCGTAAGGTAGTAAGGCATACAGTTCATCTGACTATCTAATAATACCTGCCCAAATTACTTAAGTAGATATTTCTCTTCAGTATGGGAATTACGAGATTTTTATCAGGCTTTTATTTCAGATTGTAGAATGCAAAAAGATTAAGAGAATTTAACTCAAATTTGTGTACTAAATCACCTACACCATCAAGTAAATGCAAGGGATTTTTTTTTTTCCCCCCAGATGTTACTTCTAACCGTGGAGGACCCTGAAGGCACTGCAGTCTTTCAGTTCCATGCCCTTCCTGCCTGCCCCACCATGCATTATCTTTTTAGCTGACCTACAGTTTTGCTGCACTTCAGCTGATATTTTGGTAGTGTCAAAAAATCCTGTTGTTTTTAGTTACAGCTGCCATAGAAGATCTGTTAGTTCCAGCCTAGCAGAAGACCACCAGCAGCAGCAGAATTAATCTGAACAAATTGAGAGGATTGGTGGAGTATTTGTACTTCCTAGATACGGTGATATTTGAAATCACACGAGACACAAAGGGGGTAGACCAGGCCTTCATTATTGAGTCACTATTGATTTGTGAGCAATCTGTGCTTTAACTGCAGTGAATGACTGCATTGAACAGATTTGTTCTAAATATGTGAAGAATGAGCGTAGTCAAAAGCATATGCTTCATCTTCAAGCATTAAAAAACAAAAATCTGATAATATCTGTATTAAATATCTTTCAGATTATTTTTAGGCTACTCTGTTATGTGTATGAAGACTGCAGCTCCCGAAAGGTATCTGACATGAACAGTAGCGCACAGGATACTGTCCAACAAACATAAAGGTCCACAAAGAGAGACAATGGCGGTTGTTTATATTCTTCTTTTTGCGTTATTTCCTTTTCTTGAAATCCAGTCATTCCAAGTGTCTGTGGGAGGCCTTATGTAAACGCAAGTTAAGTATGCTGCTGAAAAAATGCACCACTCTAATTATATATTAAATCGCCTTATCTATGCAACATTTTCCATAAATACATACATTAATTTTTTTAAAAAATATATTCTGGTTTTGTGTCTGGAAGGATGCAAGAGAAATGGATATCAGTCGTGACATTGAGAGGAAATGGTTGCGTCTTTCCATCTCTTCTTGTGGAGAGGATATTAACACAAATATATCTAAAGAGGTCTTTCAGCGAAATGTGGCAGGTAAAATTCAAAAGGGGAGTGATTCTTTCAAGTTATTCTTTCAAGTTATGAGTTATTTTTCATGTGATTGATATCTAGTTTTGCTTTACATATTGTGTCACTGAAGATCTTTTGAAATCCTGGGTTCAATGGGTAAGCTGTTGGCTGAAAACACTCCGGATTCCAAAGGAGCATCTTTCTTTGTAGGCAAGCTAACAGAAGATATCAGCATTCCCCTCGCTGAGTTTCCATCGACTCCTCTGTTTCATTTTTGATTGTTACAGGAGTGAAGCCACACAACTTTTGCAGACACTTGTATTTTTTACAGCTCCAGCCATCACTACTGTACATGCGTGTGCTCCACCTTCATGGTCATGCTTTTAAAATCTTGGACTTGGCTACAAAATTTTCTTCATTGTGAATTTCAGATCTTCACGGTAAGTAGCGGGAAGAGACTCACGCTTCTCAAACAGCCTCTTAGGACAGCACTTTCAAAGAGCAGCTTGACTTGCTCTCTGGTGGTTTGGATCAACCCAAATCCTCTTCCCACAAGCTGGGAAGCGTACAGCGAGAAAATCTTGTTTTCAGGATGGCATTCAATGGATGGATTTATCGTGAATGTTATGGATATTGGTTGTTCTTAATCTCTCTTCATATCTGCAATGAAGTATGTCTCAAAAAAAGGTTTGGGCCCCATGGTTCTTTCGCTCTTTTTATTTCCCTGTTGTCGTTGCCCATTTAAGTCACTCGAGTATCCACTTTCCAGGCTTCATAATTTGTTTAGTTTTTGCTGATCACTATGCCTTTGCTACGAAGTAGAGCTAGTGATGTGGAACCAAGATTTTTCTCCTTCCATCTGATCAGTGTGGGTTTCATTTTTCACCTCTACAGGCTTGGGAGTGCTTTTCTTGGAACCACTCGGGTGTGTGTGCCTGCGCGGGATCTGTGGGTCATGTAACACCGTCCACACACATGCTGTCTGGCAACTCAGCGTTTGAGAGCCTGAAATAGGAAAGTTACGGATAGTTCAAGCTGCAGACTTTTTCTATATATTCTCTTGGCACACTAACAAAAAAAACCCCATAATTTCTTAGAGACTGACTTAACCAAGGCCACTGAACTGGGCGCTTCAGAAACGTGAAGAATGTCTTGCGCACTATTTGTCCCAAATTTTTGAGAGGCTGTTCTTGATGTTGAATAGTTTTCACTTTAGTTTACCTTGATCCTCATGCTTTGTCTTGAATTACTAAAACTGCAGTCAGACAAATTTTGGCAAAAAGCAGCTATGTCTTGTGGGGCTGGTTTAAGCTAGTATCTGTGTAATCTAGATATTTCCTATCACTTTGTGGGACTTTAACACAGGTAACAGAGAAGATAAAGTTTTCTGAGCCTATTTGCATTTTGTGGACACGCAGGCAACAGGGATAGAAAGTAATAATTCCTATAGTCTTCTTCCAAGAAACAAAATTTGTGTTGTTCTGTGGCCTGAATCTGTAACAGTGAAACTTTTAATTGAACTGTGGACTAAGGAAGGGAATGAGGGAATTTGGGGAGGGGTTGTTTGTTGTAGTTTGATTTTGGTGTTTAGTTTTGGTTGGGTTTTGTTGTTTTGGGGTGTTTTTTTGTTATAGGTAATACAGAATTGTACAGTAGAGAGAATTACTACATAAACATAGCAAACTTTTGTGTGGACTAGGAGAAAAACATTTTTTCAAGGAATTTTAAGACAAAAAGGTGTAATCAGTGCTAAGTAATGCAATTTGAAGAAAACCTCATGCTTAGGAGTTTGGAGCATTAGACTTCTGGGAGAAACCTTCATCTAAAGAACTGAAAAATCTTTTAATAGCTCCAGGT